GTAATATTTGGGGTCACAAGTTTTTGCCATGGATATTCTGTGGGTCAGAAGATAAAAAGTTTGGGAACCACTGCTGTAATGCCTTTAATCAGGGATGCAATTTTATTAGTTCAACAGAAATGACATCCAGATTACGTTGGTTCTCATTTTGATGCCAAGTCATAAAGTTCCTCTAGGAATGCAGCTCTGATGAGTCTTTGTCTCTTTTCAATAAGCTCCTGACTTGTGTCTATACATCCTACAACCTAAACTAGACACAATCTGCCWTATAGAATTGTCTCATCTCTGGGGTTTTCTGCCCAACATTTGTTTCGGAGCAGTTTGATAAAATGAGTAAACTGGCTCTTCCTGTCTCCCCTTTTTTTTCCAAATCTCACAGCCACTAGATTATTTCACAAAGTGCATTGACATAAACTTGAATCACAGCGACTCCACATCAGAACTAACAGGATTTCTTGGCAACATCTTGGTGCTGAACATCTGTGGACTCCTAAATTATCAGTGTGCCAGAGTGTTATGGCTGATGCGTACAGAACAGAGGGTTACGTGGATCATCATATCCCTCATACAAGCTCCACACATACCTGTGAACCTTGAGTCACCACTTATCATAACTCTTGTGTTTTCACAAGCCTGGTGGAAACTATTTAAGGAATGYCAACAAACACAATATGAGTGYTGGACGACGATTAGGCTCACGCATAGACAGCATTACAGATATCCCCCCTTTGTCATGTTTCGTATGTCAAAGATACAGAACCTGAACCTGATCAGTTCAAACACAATGTGGATCCTCAGTTTGACCAATAATCAAGTCACCCATTTCAGTCACCGTCAGTGTTGTWTAAAGTACCACAAAGTGATACTTGAGTAAAAGTACAAGGATCTTACCAAAAAATTCCTTTGGTAAAAGTTAAAGTCTTCTTTAAGAATAGTACTTGAGTAAAATTCTCAAAGTATCTGATATTTTTGTACATAAGTATTAAAAGTTAAAGTATTGATTTAAAATGAGCAGTTAGATTTTTTGTAATAACATTTATTAGGAGGTGACCTCCTGACTATATCATAGTAAAATAATTAATTCATGTTAAATTTAGGATGCACCAGTCTAGCTGTGTGTGTGTGTGTGTGTGTGTGTGTGTGTGTGTGTGTGTGTGTGTGTGTGTGTGTGTG